AAAATAAGATGAAACTCACGTAAAATAAAACTTTTTCAAAGTAAACAATAAAAGGGAGATAATAATGGTTCCCAAGAACAAATTAATCTCCAGCGATCTGTGGCCGACTATAAAAATGGATCTTCGAATAACAAAACTAAACTTCTGTATTGAATAAATAATAAATAAATAAATATTAATATATTAACTGCCTCGTTGGCCGAGTGGTCGCAAGTGTGACGTCTCGGGTTTGTTTCCCGGGTCGGGCAAAATATTACTGGGTTTTAAAAAAAAATCTCAGTAGTAGCACGGAATCTGGAATTGTGCCCGGTATATGGCAATAGGCTCACCCCCTATTACATGGGACTCATAACATAAATAGTGAAAAGTGGATGTTATATTGTACAGTGGCATAATGTGAACCTTCGGGGATAAAAGGCGTGATGTTATGTGTGTGTGTGTGTGTGTGTGTGTGTGTGTAAATAAATATTCCCGATCGATTTCGATCATGGTGGCCAGTCTATCTAACTAGCCTAGACCACTACGCAGGAGATATTATTTATTTACTAGCTACTTCCGCGCGGTTTCACACGCTCTGCTCAGCTCCTATTGGTCATAGCGGAATGTTTTATAGCCTATAGCCATCCTCGATAAATGCGCTATCCAACACAAAAATAATTATTCAAATCAGACTTGTAGTTACGGAGATTAGCGCGTTCAAACAAAAAAAAAACAAACTCCGCTTTATCCAAACAGTCAAACACCGCGCGGTCACCGGTGACCGCAACCTATTGTTCTATAATTGTGTCTATAATGACGGTACTCAACGAGATAATAGTATTAGATTATCATTGTGATGTTAACACGGCTTTACACCAATGACATTAACACACATACAAATAGAATCAAACAACACCAAACAGTTACAATAACAGAAAAAGAAGAAAAAACACATAAATAAACATGACATTAAAAAAATGATGATGGGCCGACGTTTGGCCACTATCTCGCCTGGTGGTGCACGATGATGCGGTCTAAGATGGAGCACGTCGGCCCATAAGCAACTTATTCACTCGGGCCTTGAAGACACCCAGGTTATACAGAGCACAAGTATGTGCGCAAACACATGTGTACTTTTATTCCCTCACTCTCTGAACCCGGTGGGACAACAGACCGACACGACCGGAGAGAAATCAGGCGCAGGACCAACATCTCAGTATATATTGTATAGTCCATGGACCAACAACTTTACATGCTTTCCGAGGCACGAGGGTGAAACACAGCCGAATTTCTTGACTCCGGGCTTATAGTGGGTATTTTACTCAAAAAATGCCATCATCACTTTTTGGCCGGCGGGAATCGAACCCACGACACGTTGCACAGCAGCCGGTCCCCCAACCACTCCGCCAAACGAGCAGTCGTACAAATATATAACATCACGCCCTCCATCCCCGAAGGGGCAGGCAGAGGCGCACATTACAGCATTCAATACCACTGTACAATGTAACGCCCACTTCCCTCTATTTATGTTATAAGTCCCATGTAATAGGGGGTGAGCCCATACCGGGCACAATTCTAGACTCCGTGCTACCTCTAAGATTTTTTTAAAAACCCAGTAATACTTCGCCCTGTCCGGGGATCGAACCCGAGACCCCTTACTCGGCAGTCGCACTTGCGACCACTCTGCCAACGACGCAGTCAATAGAAAAAAAATCCGTCAAATCCGAATACAATACTGAACCTCCGACAAAGTTACCGACAACACTTGTTTTAGATTCATCCAATGACTTCTCCCGCCCGGGTCAGGGCGAGAGGGAGTGTCAGACTCTTACTAAATACCACCCCGGTCTTACTCCTGCACTTCGAGCCGGAGCCCCGGCAACCTGTTAAGTCTTCTGCGGCTCCGTATCGGCCTCAGCCCTGTTGAGCTCCATCTGTGGTGGTCTGATGGCTCCTTGAGGCCCGCGCGGAACGCGACGCACCGTACGCTCGGGCCTGGTTCTGATCGGACGGTGAGTTACCCATGCTCGCCGTCTGTCGTGCTTACGGTGGCCGGAGATCGTACAGGTTTAGGCTAGATTAGGTTAGACAAAGCATAGATTTCAGTAGAATGCAATTTATGCTGGTAGAAAAGTAGGTATTATAGCAATAAACAGTCAAGATTGTTTTTCGAGATATCAGTATCTCATTTTATCGATTCGTTATTTTTTTCGGACAAAAGTAGTCGGAAAGTTAGTATTTTAGGCAGTAGATTGAATATTTTAAGTAAGGACAATTCTCCTATTTTGTGGAGCTTTTTCACTACCCACAATAAAATATCAAGGAATAATTAAAAAACTGCCTAGTGTGGATCGGATTCACATATTATGAAGGATTCGGTAGCATATAAAATATAGAATTTTGAAGATAAGATATGCCTTGGTCCTGCCTCGGCAGTCGTAAGCACAACTAAGGACACCGTAGCAAATTTTTGGGTAGCCTCAGAATAGTTCTGACGGCGGAAACATCGTAGAGTAGTCGAATCGTGGTACGTGAACACAGTTGTGCGTGTATTTATAATGGTGGATTGGGACTCAGTTCTCATTGTTCATCTTACTGAGTACTGACTCGTCTGACTGTCTCGTTGGCCGAGTGGTCGCAATTGTGCGGGAATCGACCGGTTCGGGTAAAATAAAGTATTAATGGGTTTTCCTAATTCTCAGTAGTAGCACGGAGTCTGGAATTGTACCCGGTGTATGGCAGTAGGCTCACCCCCTATTATATGGGACTCATAACATACATAGTAAAAAGTCGGCGTCCTAAACCACGGCTGCCGAGACAGCTCAAAGTCAGCCGAGGTAGGTCTCAGGCGGCCGTAGCTGGAGTAAACAGCTTGAGCTGTACCGAGCACCGATGCCCACCGATAGCGGTTGCCGGGCCTAAACGAGCCCTTAGCGAGGGTAGTATTATCGAAATGACAAAACAAAATCAGATGTTTATAATATTATATTTTTATTAACATTTTTTCCTTTTTTTACAAATACATATAATATTATCAGAAGGCTATGTAGGTAGACTAGGCAGTAAGTAAATAAATAGATTTATCGTAGATTCAATTTCTATACCATAGTAAGAGCACAGCTGACCCAGTAATCGAACCAGGAACTCCTCACTCTTGCTTGCGTCCTTTACTAGTCTAGTTTGTTTTTGTGTTATAACTATGCGAGACATATTTAATTACATAGATATTGTACGGTATACGCACGTAATTATTCGACGAGGTTACTCGATTGATTTCGAGCTACACCGGGGCCTATAATCACTAGACAGTTACTGGAGTAACCAGTACAACTTCATTTAGTTTGACATTACGTATAAATATGTTAAAGGGATTGAGAATAATGAAATCGTATGTCTGTACATGGATAAAATTTTATTTTGAAAACCAATTAATCACTTAATAGTTTTACATGTCGATTGCGATATTCATAAAACGATTATAAACCCAGTCTCAGTAAAATAGAGTCCATTTTTCTTTAATATTTACTTTAGTCATATTGTAAAGGTAGTTAGCTTGAACGCACTTATCTCTGGAACTACTGAATCGAATTGAATAATTCTTATTGTGTTAGATAGTCCATTTGTCGAGGAAGGCTCCAGGCCATAAAACATCACGCTGCGATTAATAGGAGCCGAGCAGAAGCTAGTAACTAATTTTTAGTTACTTACGTTATAATCGTTTTACAAATATAACACATTTTTATAAATAGTCTTTAAGCTTCCATTATCCCTTCTCCTTCAGAAGGGACCCAGTAGCAAGATACAACTTATAAAATTATAATATTTGAGTACTTTTCCGAAGAAGTTTTCAAACAGCTAGCGAAAGATGGCAGCACTATCTGGGCTTTACTCGATAGCCAATCACAATTCGAGACTAGTTATTTTTAGAAGGATATTCTTTTTTGTGACGTCATTTTTTTGTCAATCAACTCTAAGACTCAGACCGCACTACGGTCTAAACGCATTTTGAAAAATTGAAATTTTAGAATAAAACAAGTGCTACAAAATTGTAATATAAAGAACTAAGTGGTAGAAATTGAGGTTGAAAATATTACGGTTATAACCGTAGTGCGTAAACCTCGGGCCGTTTCGCGGTTAACCGTATAGAAAAAACCGTAATGCGGTGTTATATCACATATACACCGCCATCTTCCTTACGAGACTAGCTACAATCAAACGCCGACTAATCATTGCATGTTTTACTTATTTTTATTTAAAATGTTTACAGTTCGCCTGCAAAATTTTCAATTTACACGATTGGGGAGTTTAGGGCGCTAGGCGGGCGCCGGGTGTGGGGTGCCCAGTAGTCCGGCGCCAGAGGGCGCTGCGGGCGCCGAGCTGGGTGCAGGTTCCTTGCTCGGCCGACCGTGGCGCTCCACTTTGATTTTTTCGCCGTTCATTATAGCTTTTATGTCATCTGCGTCTAGAGTTTCGTATCTGTAGACAAAGAGATTCTATTAATTAGTATATTTAATATTAAAAGTAGCTTAATTTTTAGTTTATGGCTTAACTTAGAACCGATTGTTCCAACGCCAAATTTTCATCAGAGGAGAACTTTGAATATTTGACATTACTTCCAAACTAAAAACTGTCAAATGTCAATTTCATTCTACAATGGAGTAGTTGCCAGGGTATGAAAATGAAAAATCTAATTAGTCCGTCAGTTAGATAATGGAAAAATATTAGACACGTATTTTTTACTTTCCCGTATAAAGTTATAATACTTAGATAAAATGGAGTTAAGTTTAGGAGTGAGAGGTCGTTACGTCACTAAGTGCTACAAAATGTGGCACGCTGTGACGTCACACGATATTTCAAATTAATTGCTGTCTGATAAACCTGACCCTTTTACACTGGGAACTCCCCCGCTTAATAGAGCGTGTATATTATGACAAACTCCTCTTATACAGACGAGACCAATAGTCCAGCAGTGGATGTCAGTCCCGGGACTTACTTCAACAATGCCTCTGCTAGTGCCTTGTGTTCCTTGGCGTGAGTGCGCAGTATCGCCTTGGCGCGCTCGTAACTCTCTGATAGTATCTTCTTGATCTCGCCGTCCACCTGTCAAGTATAAATTATTCAATATAAATTTCACTTTGACTGACTAGTAAGCCGAATGGTTTCAAGTGCGACTATCGGGCTAGGGGTCTCGGGTTCGATTCACGTGACGGGCAAAGTATTACTGGATTTTTTTAAGAATTCTCAGTAGTAGCACGGACTCTGGATTTGTGCCCGGTATATGGCAATAGGCCCCCCCTATTACATGGGACTCATAACATAAATAAAGAGAAGTGGTTGTTACATTGTACAGTGGCATTAAGTGCCGTAGTGTGCGCCTCTGCCTCCCCCTTCGGGGACAAAAGGCGGGATGTTATGTGGTAGGTGTAAGTGTTGAGTGACCGGATGTAGTTACCAGTTCGTTGGTGTAAGGGCCGAGTTGCTCGGCGCTGTGCAGCGCGGGCCGGGCCGGCTCCAGGGCGCGCAGCCCGACCTTCTCACTCATGCCCCACTCGCGGACCATGTGGCACGCTATCGCCGTCGCTTGCTTCAGGTCTGATGACGCTCCTGGTCACAATACAATAATCATTTATCATTTAACATTATTTACCACCCTCATTCTTACCGTGGGTGCTATAACACCAATTAACAGTCTGTTTCAAAGTCGCAATAAACATATGTGCATACAAGCAAGTGTGAGAGCCATGCTACGACACGCTACTGCCCCGGCTCCACCGGACTGACAGCGGCCTGGCCACTCGTGGGAGAGACGGCAGTGGGGGACCAATTACCAACCCCCCCCCCCCCCTCCCCAATCATCCTCAAATTCCTAATCCCTAAAAGGCCAGTAACGCACAAAGCAGCCGTTCAGGGATTAAGAATTTGAGGAATGTTGAGGATTCATGTAGTTTCACATTCATTTCACAAAAATTAAGAAAGGCCAAGCGGCGTTATCACTATGCTATATCTAAGGCTCTAAACAGATACGGAGCCGCAGAGGACTTAACGGGTCGCCGGGGCTCCGGCTTGAAGTGCAGGAGTAGGAACGGGGTGGTTTTTAGTCAGTAAGAGTCTGACACTCCCTCCCGTCTCACCCAGGCGGGAGCAGTCATTCGAAGATGTTTCCCCCTTAAAAAAAAGGCTCTAAACAGACGAAAGTCTGTTCGTCCGTTTGCCTAGACTCTAGAGCCTAAGAAGCAACCATTGCGGTGACCAGAGCGCTGATTAAATTGAGGCCAAAGTTAAATGGAAATTATGCCCTACATACTCAGAAACCTTCAACTTCCAGTACTTGTACTAACCGGAGGTGATCTTCTCAGGTCCGAAGACAAGTTCCTCGGCGGCACGGCCTCCCATCATGGTGTCCATCATCGCTAGGAGCTGCTGTTTGGTTACGTGGTATCTAGAGGACAAAATATAACAATATATTTCAATTAGCTTCTTAAAAATAACTTGTGAATAACAAATCATCAACAGCCTATAAATGCCCACTGCTGACCATAGGCCTCTTCTCACACGGAGAAGGTTTGAGCATTAATCACCACGCGTGCTCAATGCGGATTGGTGATTTCAAACTTATAATTAGAAATTATAAGCCCAGGTTTCCTCGCGATGTTTTCCTTCACCGTTTGTCAGTGGTGTCTGAATAACCCTTGGAAAAAGTCACATTGGTACTTGCCGTTGGTAGGTTTCGAACTCATGCATGAGAAGCGAGAGTCTTTAACCTCCGGGCCACCACGACAGATTACATAACAAATAACATAACATAATATTACGCCTTTTATCCTCCAACGGGTAGGCCTCTGCCTACTCCTTGAACATTGCGGCACTTAATGCCACTGTACAATGTAACACCCACTTTTCACCATTAAGTTATAAGTCCCATGTAATAGGGGGTGAGCAACCTTACACCGGCACATTTCCAGACTGCGTGCTACTACTGAGAAATTAAAAAAAAAATCAGTCTTACTTTGCTCGAACCCGAGACCCCTTGCCCTTGAGTGAATAAGTGCTTACACATGTAATTTGAGATAATATTTAAAAGCCTACCTCTCCTTGGCGGGTATGTATGCCGTGTGTCCGAGGGACGGGCCGCGCGGGATGATGGTCACCTTGTGCAGCGGGTGAGAGTCCTGCGGACAGACATACAATAATCTGACTGAGTTTAATACGGTACATGACATATTTTTATTCAATTATCCGTCTGGTAGATTATTTAAAAACATTAGACACGTATTTTTTATTCTATGACAGTGTATGAAAATTAAAAATCTAATTAGTCCGATAGTTGGTAATGAATAAACTATTAGACATATTTTTTATTTAGATGTATTATGGTAATAATTTCTTTTATAAATTGTCGCCGTTATTGCTATCGCTATCACTTTCTGTAACATTTATTATAAAACACACACACTGATTGTTTATCGATTTTTGTGTTCATCACTACACTATTATATGTGGTATCATTATTTCATAAAATGACAGTAGCCAGCGTCGGACTGGCCATACATTCGAGGTGGCATTTGCCAGCCGGGCCCCAGCCTGCACGGGCCCCCCCACAGGCCTGGGTTGAGAGGCATGCGGCAACCTCAGCACAGGGGGGGGGGGGGCGCGAAGTGTGCCCCCTGTGCTACGGTTGCCCGCATGCATGTCTCGTAAACTATGCGTCTTACAAAAAATTTGAAAGACAAAACAATTGTAGGTAACATTTCAATGGGCTAAAATTGCCGGAAAATTATGGGAGTTTTATTTCGCTTTCTTTTATGTAAGTATTATAGTGGTTATTATTATTATCAATAATAATAGTGTTTATTCCGCCGTTTATAAAATAAACTAAAGCAAGAAACCCTACAGGAATCGGTCATGATTTCGAAGGACTGAAACATTTTTGCTGTTGTAAGGTCGCGGCAAAAACGCGTAAAATTCGCAAATTACGCGGTTTTCTAGATCTAGCTAGCAGGGCGCCAAGCATACACTAGGGCTATAGAGGTTAAAAACTCGATGAATTCGGAACTGCAACATTTATAAATAACAATTAAGAAACGTAACGTATTTATTCACTCTCGGGGTTGGCATATCCATGTGGATAAAAACCCCAAAATAAATAAATAGAAATAAAAAAAAAAAATATTCACTCTCATCTCATAATTTTGATGAAACGGAACGCATTACGCAAGTAAAGAGTCTGTGGTTTGGGGAATCCCCGACGCGTGCGTTCGCTGCTCCTTGAATCGCATTCCATTGTTTATTCGGTTTGTATTGCCCTTACCGCCGATACTCTAGTTCAATTACGTTGTTTTTAAATATTATACTGACTTACGTTACATCGAGAAACTGTTACAATGGAAAAGGTGAGTTGCATAATATTATTTTTATTGCTTTCTGAAAAAAAAGTCACTTTGGAGCATTTGTAATCTAATATTATATAGGTACCTAAGTATTACTCAAATTGATATATACTTCACGGTTTCAGTCACGTTCAGCGACATATAAACCTAAATCTGGTTCGGAGAAACGGAAAAATAAAAGAAAGATAGAATTACAAACAGCGGCTTCGAACCCAAAGCAATCCAGGCTTTCCTTCACGTCACCATCTCAAGAGCTTGAAGATCCTCAAAATCGGAGCGAATCGCAACCAGGTAAATAGATTTAATTTAATACAGTTTTTTTTTCTAATTTAACAAATCTTTACATATTTATTAGCTAGTTTTACCTGTAGTTTCGCTTTTTAATTCCTTCTTTACATAGAATTATAACGCCTAGGAGGCCAATTCTTAGTCAAATAGAGATAGAAATATGCCGAAAAAATTGAGGAATGTCGGATGAAATTGTATGGGGAACACACGACATCGGCCATTTTTTTTCGACATAAGCATATTTCTATCTCTATTTGACTGAGAATTGGCTTCCAGAAGGATAGCCTTACTACTGGCCGCGTAAAATTTGGGGCACAAAACGCACACATCGTTTTGCTTGGTAGTCGCACGCAACACAAACGTAAAATAATGTTACCAGTCAAATGACATTTCCCCAAAAATATGGGAAATGGATATATACTTATGTACAGTTTTGATAAGGCTTATTAACACAAACTTGTTTTTAGTTAACCAAAATGTACATGATATGCGCACGGGGTCGGTTGACTTTTGACACTACGGGGCTGTCGAGCGTATCACACCACGGTGGATGGTGGTGTGATTTGACTGAATGTGATTGCAGGGCGCCGAGACGGCTTCTGGGTGTTATAATTCTATGCTTCATTATAATCTACAAATTTGTCAAATTTATCTGTTCTAAGCCAAAATTACGTCTTTTTATATATTGACTTTGATGTATAAATTTTAAGCTACAGATAGGTACGGAATATTGTAGGGAATGCTACACTTTTAGAAATCTTAATTTTATTATAAACAAGAGTCTTGGCTGATTAACTCATTAGTGCCCCGGCCATACCCTTGAACGTAGATAGATGATTTTTGTAATGAAATGAAATCCCTTTACGCATATTGCAGACGAAAAACGGACTTTTAAAATTTCTGAAACCCCTCAACCGATTTCAATGATATTTTTTGAATGTGTATAGCTATTAAATATTTATACAATATTTTATTTTTATAGGACCCTCATCATCATCATCAATGTTAGACGAAAAATTGGATTCACTTTCGTATGCAAGTAATTCAGAAGAGAACATAGCAGCGGCGACTCTACCCATAATAATCACGCAAGACACAGCACCACAAGGAGCAAATGAATGTGTTTTTAATCCTAAAGACACAATTACTTCAATTCCGTCCAGCGACACTGGATCTGGTGGAAATATTGATAACGTTGCGTTTAAGCCACTAACATTAACAGTCGATGATTGCAGTCAAATTCAAAAACTTTCTGAATTTGCTGCGCCAAGGAAAAATGCTACGACTGCCGAGAAATTAAGTATCTTATCTGTTCACCCTATCCAACCTTCGGGTGATAAAAACAGTTTGCCTTTCGATGCAAATCGGGTTTACTACCGAAAATTACCAACAGGAACTTTAATTCGACGAGAATCTGTCTCTTATTCTCTTGAATTAAACAAGCTATTTTGTACCACCTGCATGTGTTTTGCGTCTGACGCCACGAAAGAAGAAGGAGGAGGAAGAAGTCCATTTATTGATGGCGTTACTCCATCCAAAAAACATATTTATGAACAACTTGTCAAACACGAGGAAAGCCACAGTCATCAGTTAGCCGTAGTTGCCTTGCTTACAGCAAAAAAAAGAGGAAATGTGGAACAACATCTCACGCTAAAGAATATGCAAGAGATTTCCAATAGGCGTCTGGTCCTGAAAAGAATAATTGATATAATACTATTTATATCTAAACAAGGCATTGCTTATCGTGGAAAAAGTGAGGCCTTGTACTCGTTAGCGGATATCGCAGATGACAACCAGAATCACGGAAACTTTTTAAATTTAGTTGTCCTATTGTCGAAGTATGATCCAGTTCTTAAGGCGCACATGTCCGAGGCAATTACTGAAAGTAAAAAAAGAAAAGACTCAGGAAAAGGTAAGGGTCGAGGTGGGCTTGTTACCTTTTTATCAAAAACCACTATAAATAAATTAATAAATATATGTGCACGTCAAGTTAAACTAGAAATCGTTAAAGAAATCCAGGCGGCGAAATCTTTTAGCCTCAATGTGGATTCTTGCCAGGATGTTGGCGTTGTTGACCAGGCTGCAATTTGCGTGCGCTATGTTAAGAGTGGGATCCCACAAGAGCGGATGCTCAGCATGGTCCCTGTCCGGAAATCAACAGGAGAAGATTACCGAGCTCTTGTAAGCAATGAACTAGCCCAGTTAGGCTTAAATTTGCAAGATATTATTAGCGTGTCATTTGATGGCGCCGGAAATAAGGCGGGAAGGTATAATGGTCTTCAAGCAAAACTGAAGGAAGAAGTACCAAAATTAATTTTCACACATTGTTATGCACATGTTTTAAATTTAGTGCTGGGAGGCGCGACGTCAAGCTGTAGTGAAGCCAAGAATTTGTTTGGGCTCTTGGAGTCTACCAGTGTATTTATTCATGAATCATTTAAGCGCACATCTCTATGGGTGGAGAAAATTTCAGAATTAACAGCTGGACAAGACAAATTGAGACGATTACAGAATATCGGAAAAACAAGATGGTGGGCTAAAGACAAAGCCTTGACTACTGTTATGGAGAAAACTCGATATGTGGCGTTGATAAAAACTTTAAGTGCCATATATTCAAGCACGGAGTTCGAGCCAAAGGTTTCGTTCCAAGCAAAAGCTTTGATGGATTCTTTTTTGAAATTCGAAACTATCCTGACAGCCTTCACGTTCAAGAAAATATTTGACCTATCAACCCCAGTAAGCCAATATCTCCAAACCCCTACATTGGATTATCTTAAAGCTTGGGGATTCATCAAATGTTTAGACATGGATTTACGAAGACATTTAGATACTTTTGATGATGTTTTCAAAGCTGCAAGTTTATTTGCATCCGATGTTCAAGACTTGATGCACGCTGAAAACATTGATCTCGACGTACAAACCACGTTACCGTTACGAAGAATTTCTAAAAAACCGAAGAAACATGAGCAGTTATGTGAAGATGAAGTAGCATTATTGGCTACAGACCCAAAGAGATTTTATTCTATTTCTGTCTACAAAGTCATTATTAATACAGCTTTAGTTAAAATAAACGAAAAGTTCATGTGCAACGAAGATTTAATGAAAGATGCCGCTTGTTTAGACCCGAAAAACTTCAATAAAATCAAAGAAAATGGAATTCCTAATGACGCGCTAAAGTCTTCGCATCAATTGCAAATGTCGATCGAGAGTTGCTATCAAAAGAACTGGAATCTTTTGCAAATAAGTTTAGTGAACTGTCTAAAACTCTTTGGGATGAGCACATTTCTCCTAGGCAGCATAAGCAAGATTCAGATTCACAAAGCGACGAAGAAAACGACGAAGATGTTTTAGACTTAGACCAAGCAGCAAAGGAAGCCATGTGTTTTTCCAGAAGTGGTTTGGACGTCTGTCAAAGTTGCATACCATGTGCATGTAAACTTTTATCACAATATAATATGCATATCAGCACGTACACCACCTTATATGTTGCATAATGTGTAATTCTCACAATTTCATTCACGCAAGTGACTTGTGAGAGACGATTCTCAGCATTGAAGCGCATTAAAACGAGACTTCGTTCTTTACTGGGGCAAGAACTGTTGGATTCGTTGATTATATTAAATACAGAATCGGATCTAATCAAGGATGACGAAAACAACAGCTTTTACGATCGAGTCATTAACTGCTTAGCTGAAAGTTCTCCTCTTTTAAAAAAAATGTTGATTGGCTAGCTTTATATCATTTGTTCTAAGTAAATACCTACTTACTATTGTATTGTATTTTAGTATAGTAATAAATTTTTTATAGTTTGTTTATCTCAATTTGTGTATCTCAGTATTTTTCGATAGTATCCCATCACCATGGTCTAGTCTTGGGCCCCGCGATTGTGATCAGCCACCCGGGCCCTTCCGGCCCAGTCCGACCCTGACAGTAGCTAATGTCAAATCTGGAATCGAATTAAAATTCCGAGTATAGAATTAGATAAAACGAATCAAAGTTTATGAGTGGGAGGTAGCTACGTCATTTTAGAGTATAAATCGTACTCAAAAGTGACGTCATGCGATATTTCAAATCAATATATCGTCGAAAGTATTTTAAATAATCTACCAGACGGACATTTAAAATAAAAATTAGTCACTATTCGATTTTCTCATCAATTGAACAGTTTTAGTATATTTATAAGATATAAATAAACATTAAATTACAATCTAACAACATGCCTATTTAATTAAGTAACATACTCGTCATATTACGAACAATACCCGTCTACTTTCAAACCCAACTGGGGCCCATAGACCATTCAGAAACAAGACCTAAACCTACTGCATGTACACCAACTACTTTCGAGCCCAACCGGGGCCAATAAATCAACAAAATCTTTGCCTACCTTAGTGAAATACGCGACAATAGCATGTCCACCCTCGTGGTAGGCAGTGATGGTGTTAGCTTCTTCATCAGGCAGTCTGGATCTTCTCTCCGGGCCCATCAGGACCTTGTCCCGAGCGTCCTCAAGGTATTTCATTGACACTGTCTTTGCACCGTCTATCGCTGCCCTGGAGATGAAATAAAATCAAAATCAGTCACCTTTCTCTTTTTTGCCATCAGTTCTATTTCTTATGCCAAAAGGGACAACCTCCCAAAACCGCTGCAACTCCTGTAAGCCGGGATCTACAGTAGATACAACCATGAAAACACCGGAACATTCTTATGCCAAAAATGTTATAATATTCTGTGTGATCCACAGATTGTTGTTCCGGGTCTGGGTGTCATGTGTATGTGAACTTGTTTGTTTGTAAACGTACACACGATACAGGAGAAAATCCTAGTGTGGGGCAAAAGTTTAAAAAAATATTACACTACAAAATAGTTCTTATGACATTATTTAAGTATATATGCGATAATTTTCATTTGTTATGTTAAAAGTTGCATATTCACGACAGAATTTCTATTTAAAGTCTAATTTTATATTGTTCATGCCAAAGCATCGACATTTTAGCCAAAGTTTGCATTACGTACGCCGACATTATTTTTTTACCCAAATATATATCAATACATAGTATAAAACAAAGTCGCTTTCGCTGTATGTCCGTATGTATGCTTAGATCTTTAAAACTACGCAACGGATTTTGATGCGGTTTTTTTTAATAGATAGAGTGATTCTTAAGGAAGGTTTGTATGTATATACATATTGCACCCGTGCGAAGCCGGGGCGGGTTGCTAGTATAACTATAATTACCATTATTTTTTCCTCTCTCTCTCTCTCTCTGTCTCTCTTTGTTGTTAGTTTATTCTCCGTACCTCAGTTTTCGCAGATTTTCTACTAAAACACTAAGGTTGACTGGTAGAGAATGCCATTTGGCATTAAGTTCGCCTTATGTGCCATAAACAAATTATATACATTAAAGAATAAATAAATAAAAAGTCACATTTCTTACACCAAAATTCCTCTGCCAATAAACTTCCGCTTTATTTTATAATATAAGCGTAAAATAACAATTGTTAATATAGATCAAAATCAAATTTGATTACTTCACTATAACCTCCACGGTGGCCACCATCCGCACCTGAATGAAGCACCCAGTCTTCTTAGTAGATCAGTACCAGAGATGCTAATAAATGTACTGAAATGTACCAAAACTTACGAGTTACCCACGTAAGTATACTGAGAAATGATCTCCTAGTCACAGAGGGGCTTCTTCCTCATGAGCAGCGTACACGGTCGCAGCTTAGTATATTTACGTATGTAAACGGTTATTTCTAGTTAATTCAGTACGGTAAAATGGAGTGAATAGGGTGTGAGCGGTGAAAAGGAATAGAAGAGGGGTGAATCGATACTATGAAGAATTTCCTTATATTTCTTTTGTTCCTATTCACCCCATTTTACAGTATGTGTGAGTATATACTATAACGTACTTGAGCGCGGCCTGGTTGACCATGTTCTCGAGGTCGGCGCCGGTGAAGCCGGTGGTGCCCCGCGCGAGTACGTCGGGGTCGACGTCCTGGTGGGCGCGGACCCGCGCCAGGTACAGCTCCAGGATCTCGCGCCGCCCGCCGTAGTCCGGCGTCGGCACCGTCACCTGCCGGGGACATCCGTCACTTGTAACTAACATCACATCACGCCTTTTTATCCCCGAAGGGGTAAGCAGAGGTGCACATTTCAGCACTTAATGCCACTACAATGTAACACCCACTTTTCACTATTTATGTTACGAGTCCCATGTAATAGGGGGTGTGCCTATTGCCATATTATTATATCAGGCACATTTCCAGACTCCATGCTACCACTGAGATTTTTAAAAACCCAGTAATACTTTACCCAACCCGGGAATCGAACCCAAGTCCCCTTGCTCGGCAGTCGCACTTGTGACCACTCAGCCAACGAGGCAGTCTTAACTTATAAACCTAACTTATAAAGATGAAACCTTATTTGTTGCCTTTGCCTCTTTATCTACACAAAATATAGCGTGTGTTTTATTCATGCCGAAGGATGAGTCGTGATACCACGGCCGAACAGAAACCCATAGTGACACATTACACAAGCACAGCGTGTGTACAGTCGTGTGACTGAGGGCAGTGGAGGTCCGGTTCCACTCCCCCCCCCGTTCCCCAATACCCAACAATCCTCAAATTCTAAATTCTCAATAAGCCGCTAAAGCAGTCGTAGAATGACTCCATCGGACTGTACAATTACTATATTGTCGTGTTCGTTATCACTAAGACAAAATTTGTATAAAAGCAAGATTCGAAACATCACGAATCCGCTGATTTAGCATAAATATAGCTGTAAGTCTGAAAATTTCGACTAAATTGACTCGGGTAAAGGGCATGAATGAACTGCCTCACCTCGACATCGAACCGTCCAGGTCTGAGTAGTGCCTGGTCGAGGTCGTCTCGTCTGTTGGTGGCGCCGAGTACGATGACGCCCTCATTCTGGTGGAAGCCGTCCATCTCTGATAGTAACTGGTTTATTGTCTGCAAACGAAAAAACATTGTTTAATAGCGGTATTTTTTTGTTAAGAGGGGAAAATCATCGAATGTCTGCTCCCGCCTGGGTGAGGCGGGAGGGAGTGTCAGACTCTTACTGACTAAAAACCACCCCGTTCCTACTCCTGCACGACGAGCCGGAGCCCCGGTAGCCCGTTAGGTTCTCCGCGACTTAAGGTTCTACTTAATAGTGGTGTATTTTGTATGTTGCGTCATGTATGTCTTTACATTATTCTCACATATGTGTACAATATTGGTATATGTATCAGAGCAATGTAAAACAGACTTTTTTTAAAAGAGTAACGAATGGAGTTTCTTGCTCGTTCTTCTCCACTCGAATCGACATTTTGGAACGAGCGCCTAGCTTCACTGACGGACAGACTGACAGACTATTATATATTTTATATTTGATGACGTTTCAAAAGTACCAAATTATGGTTTAATTGAAATAAATGCTTTTGAGTTTGAGTATAAATATGTTTTAAATGCAGGAACATTTTCGAGTGGGCAATTCGTTTAAAAGATCTACAGACATATTATATTTGTCTCTTAACTTGGTATACTATATCTGTACTTAATCAGTATTTATTTTCTTGCCCGCATACCAAGTGACTTGGCTGATTGTATAGTAACGATCGGTAATTGTCATTATCGGATTTTATGATCCTAAAAATGAGTAAAACATACCAATGTAATAGTAGACAGTTTTCCCTTCTCGTTTACAATAAACATACATTGAGTTTTCAGCTTACATTTTCCAGGATAAGAGGAACCACTATTAAGTGTTACTTTAAAAATTGCGTGATTGGCTAGAGGACTGACCTACAGACCGACATTTTTTCTTACTATTTAATATTTAAATACTTTGTTTTGAAGTTGAAAAGTGCCTTCCTGGTCTAATTGAAATAAATGATTTTGACTTGTGGGAAAGCTATGCTTCGGCACTACTGGGCCGGTTCCACCGGAGTGATACCGCCAAAGAGCAAACAACCATAGTGAAACAACCACAGCGTTGTGTTACGTCGTGTGACTGAGGTTACCGGAAGCCCAAATCTCCACACTCCCCCATCCCCGAATTCCTATCATTGAAAAAGTCGACATGTAATGCCCTTGGTGTTCCTGGTGTCCATGGGCGACGCCGATTGCTTACCATCGGGTAATCCATCTGCTCGTTTACCGGCTTATGCCATTAAAAACTATTAAGTTATACATATTACGCTGACCTGGTTGGCATAAGGATGTAGCACGCTGTTGGTCCGTTTGGCTCCGACGGAGTCGATCTCGTCGATGAATATCACGCACGGAGCGCGCTCCTTCGCCGCCTCTGTACATACGTAATATAAACATAAAATATATTTAATTACATTATCTCTCTCTAACAACACCTGTGCAGTTTGATTCCTAGAGCGTCATGCCTGAGCTAAGCGCTAAGGGAAACCTGAGGAACATTATATTATAAATCAGTTTCAAATGTTACTTTTTTTTTTAATTACACTCCCTAAAAGTGGTTACCAAATCCCCAAACTGGATCCTCTAACCTAACCCAAAAAAGTAACTAATAAGAACCCTCAAAAATGAAATGTCGAACCCAATAAACCTGCACGTACTCCCTAGAAACACGTCCCAAATCATGTAAAATAATCAAAGTGACTCACTGAACAGATCCCGCACCCTCCTAGCGCCCTGGCCGACGAGTATTTCATCGAACTCCGGTCCGGCCGCGTGGAAGAATGGAACCCGCGCCTCCCCGGCCACGGCCCGCGCCAGCAACGTCTTGCCGGTCCCCGGGGGACCCACCAACAATACACCCTTGGGCAACTTCCCACCGAGGGTCGAGAATTTCTCGGGAGACTTTAGGAATTCCACCTGTAAGAAGTAAATAAATACTACTTAAGATTTTTGTGTTGTGTTTGGGAGCTGGCTAAGTGACTAACATAACATAAAATCACGCCTATTATCCCCGAAGAGGGTACGCAGAGGTGCACATTACGGCACATTATGCCACTGTACAATGTAACATCCACTTTTCACTATTTATCGTATGAGTCCCATGTAATAGGGGGTGAGCCTATTGCCATATACCGGGCACAATTCCAGATTCCGTGCTACAATTGCGATTTTTATTAAAAAGCCGGTAATACTTTACATACCAATATAATTATTGACATATTAAATCAATACATAGTATAAAACAAAGTCGCTTTCGCTGTATGTCCGTATGTATGCTTAGATCTTTAAAACTACGCAACGGATTTTGATGCGGTTTTTTTTAATAGATAGAGTGATTCTTAAGGAAGGTTTGTATGTATAATACATGCATATTGCACCCGTGCGAAGCCGGGGCGGGTCGCTAGTTGAATATAAAATATGTTTTATCAAATAAGCATCTCGGTGAAGGTCGTTTAAAATTTTAGCTATTAATTCCTGTGCGTATAGTCAGCCATTGTCAAAAGTATTCTGAATAAAAACAACATAATTTGGAGCAGAGATCTGGAACAACACAGGCTACTGCTTATCCGACGTGAACGCGGGCAAAGCCGCTGACAGAAGTTAGCAATATATACTTACAACATCCTTAAGCTCCTGTTTAGCCTCGTCAGCTCCCTTGACATCATCGAATGTGACAGAGATGTCCTCAGGGTCCACCTCCACTTGGTTGCCCAACTGGATCCTGGAATTATAATGTACATTTTGTCTATTTAATAATGAAAATCAATGAGGGCGCCGTAGCTCGTTTATGTAACAACCCCTATTGCGTAAGTACCGTCTAAAATTAACCTTACTTTAGACAAAAAATTAGTTTATTTTGTACGTTTTCACTTCTAGCAGGTAAAATATAAACAATTGGGTAGTTTCCAGGGTATCAATATTAAAAATGTAATTAGCCCATCAGTTAGATAATGGAAAAATATTAGACACGTATTTTTTTAATTTTCTCGTATTAAACTGTCAAACACCAAGCGGTCACCGGTGACCGCAACCTATTGTTCTATAATTGTGTCTACAAAACCGGTACTCGACGAGTTAAGTTGCAATACTTAGATAAAATGGCCCTAAGTTTAGGAGTGAGAGGTCGTTACGTCATAACGTGCTACAAAATGTGACACGCTGTGACGTCACACGATATTTCAAATTAATATATCGTCGAAAAATACGTGTCTAAAGTTTTAAATTAATGTACCAGACGGACATTAAAATAAAATTTAGGAAACTATTATTATACGATTCCTACTCGTCATATGTACTGTCCGAGCGAAAGCATAATCTTAATTTGATAAAATTTCTCCAGCTTCTTGTTCTATTGAAAATCACTTTATACTCGAAATACAATCAGCCGAGCCATTCCGAATTGTTCTCTTCCATGTTTAATAAACGCATCCTAAGTTTTATTCACTTAAATTCCAATAATACCTTTTTAATAAGAAACGATTTGCAAAACAAACTCGATCACAGTTTATGTTTTTGACAATTCAAAGTACTTTCATTGAGTGTTGCCATAGTTTTATGGTGCAGTTCCATTGAGGCGGAGCGGAGAAGAGCTGTGCCGCGATTCACCAATCACATGGCTTGAAATCCACATCTCTTCTCCATTCCGCTGAATTTGTAGTTGATTGGTGAATCGCGGCACAGCTCTTCTCCGCTCCGCCTCAATGGAACTGCACCCTTAAAGTTGTTAGTTCCTCAAGCATTTATCATCATGATCAGATTATATTATTTGTTTTTTTTTTTTAACAAATCTATCTTCCATTACAACTAGAATATAACATGAATGGTGGTAGTAACTCACCGGAAGACAGTGCCACTGACGGACGCCATGAGACTGACGAATATAGCCAGGAACAGCACGATGGTCAGCAGTTGTTGAACTAACTTCAGATATTTTGACGCCTTCGTACCGCGCACGTTATCTGGGTGAGAACCTGAGGAAATATTATAATTTAATTATTGTCTTATTCTATTATAAGAGCCCGTTCAAGTATTACGTAAGCACCATGGGGGGTAGGGGAGTCTAGATGATGATTACGTCATGGGTAGTTATTTACTTTTTTACACGAATGGCAACCCTCATATTCAAATTATAAATTACAAGCAAAGATCGATAAAGAACTAGACATTATGGTATCTAAGAGATTATTAAAACTACAATATAAAAAAGATATAATCCAAAATGTTTCCGTAAGCAAAGGGGGAGGGGGTAAGATCTTTGCTTACTTTCACTGACAAGGGGGATGGGGGGGGGGGTAAATAAATGTAAAAAATCTGCTTACGTAAGCAGCACATACGTAAGAGCAGTAGACAGGAAACTGGTGAGACCAGTAGCTAAGACAGCAGAATAAAGTCAAGGAGATCACACAGCATATTGCGAAACTTAATTAGGAGTGGGCTGGTCACGTTGCAGGCGAACAGGATTAGTGGTGCAAAGCCGTGATAGAGTGGAGACCGTGGGGCAAAAAGCGCCCACAAGGAAGACTCCAGATGCGTTGGTACGATGACATCAAACGAACAGCTGGCACGAAATAGATAGAAATTGCTCAAGGCAGAAAGAGATGGCAGACACTGAAGAAGACCTACACCCTAAAGGGACCCGAGCGTACGGCGCGTTTCGCGCGCGCCTCAAAGAGCCATCAGACCACCACGGATGGGGCCCAATAGGGCTGATGCCGATTCGGAGTCGCGGAGAACCTAACGGGTAACCGGGGCTCCGGCTCGACGTGCAGGAGAAGGAACGGGGTGGTTTTAAGTCAGTAAGAGTCTGACACTCCCTCCCGCCTCACCCAGGCGGGAGCAGTCACTAAGGGGACCTCTCGCGTCCGGCCCTAGTGCGGGCCATGATGCGGAGCGAGGGGGACTGGGATGCCGTCTCCTCCTTTTGCGAAGCAGTGATGCTAGCCAAGGAGGTTGTTTGTTGTTGGTTTTTTGATATCGATTACAAATCTCGTACATACCTGCTAGATACCCCTCAGCGAAAGCAATCTTGATCTTATCCTTCTGTTGATGAGTGAGGTGTGCGGAGTCTTCATTTAGTAACTTCTCTAGTCTGGGGGCCACCTCCGGGTTTGGGGCCTGCTTGTCTATGGGGTCCTGCGTGCCTAGACCTGGAACCAAACACCACTACAATCAGCCGTAAGCTCTGTACATACATACATCAAAAGTGGCTACTTCTGATCAAGGCCTCTTCTCACACGGAGAAGGTTTGAGCATTAATCACCACGCTTGCTCAATGCGGGTGGCGATTACAAACTTATAATTAGAAATTATAAGCCCAGGTTTCCTCACGATGTTTTCCTTCACCGTTTGTCAATGGTGTCTAAATAATCTTAGAAAGTACATTTGACTCGGAAAAAGTTACATTGGTACTTGCCGTTGGTAGGTTTCGTGCCCGCACCCTTATGCATGAGAAGCATGAGTCTTAAACCTCCGGGCCACCACGACACTACTATCTTAACACATAACATAATATCACGCCTTCTATCCCCGAAGGGGTTGGCAGAGCACATTACGGCACTTAATGCAACTGTACAATGTAACACCCACTTTTCACTATTTATGTTATGAGTCTCATGTAATAGGGGGTTAGCCTATTGCCATATACAGGGCACATTTCTAGACTCCGTGCTACTACTGAGAACTTTTGAAAACCCAGTGATACTTTGCCCGACTCGGGAATCGAACCTGCGACCACTCGGCCACCGAGGCAGTCACTAACTTAACAAGCAGAAAATAAGAACTCTACTTACGCAATCTACTAATAATATTGGGGTTCCGCTTCAGGTCTGCGTGTATGGCGCGCTCGGTCTTGAACCCGCGCACCTGCACCGCGTACTGGAAGGTGGAACCTTCCATGCCACGCGCCAGGAGACCCACGAAGTTGTCTGTGAAGCTGAACCTGGGAACGGAGTTATTAATTTAACCCTTTGAGTACCGTCATTATAAACACAAAGAACAGTAGGTTGCGGTCACCGGTGACCGCTTGGTGTTTGACAGTTTAAATTAGATTAATCAAAATAACATAGCTATACACTTATTTTGTTTGTTTGAACGCGCTCTGGAAGTAATGGTCAGAGTTTTTCTTTTATGGAATAAGTCGGTAAACGAGCAGACGGATCACCTGATGGTAAGCAATCGGCGTCGCCCATGAACACCTGGAACACCAGAGGCGTTACAAGTGCGTTACCGGCCTTTTGGGGTATAGGAGTTTGAGGATCGTTGGGGATTTAGGGATTGGAGAAATTAGGGAAGGGAGAGGGGGTAATTGGGTAGTGTGTAATTGGGCCTCCGGTAACATTTTTTTCTGCTCGGCCGTGGTATCACTCCGGTCGAGCCGGCCCATTCGTGCCAAAGCATGGCTCTCCCACAGTCATAGTTGATACAACTCTATAATATCTATCAATTGAGACATTATTACCTGGTATTCTTCCTAGAGAGATGCACAGTGACGGTGGGTAGCTGTGACCAGCCATTCTTGTTCTGGTCGAAGGTGTCTGCGGAGACATGGGACACCTTGCGCGAGGACGCTAGCTCGCGGAGACGCGGACGACACGCCTTGCTCGCGAGGGTACGAAGCTCTATGCTTCTCATCTCACTGGAATAGAATAAAAATAAAAATTACGTTAGTTGTCCTTTTTATTATTGTTTTATATTGTTTTTTTTTGTAGTTGTTTTTATTCTTATTATATGTTTGCGTATTTGGTGCATCATGCGTCATTACGCAATTTGCCATTGCAAATTAATTTTTCTTTCTTTCTTTCGTACAATGAAATTTTTAAGAGTAGGTGGGTTTTAAGAGTAGTCATAAAGTGTCGGGTCCTTTAACTCGTCGAGTACCGGTTTTGTAGACACAATTATAGAACAATAGGTTGCGGTCACCGGTGACCGCTTGGTGTTTGACAGTTTAAATCGAACGCAGCGCCATCTACTTCAAAGTACAAAAACTTTTAATAAATGACTTACAGATAACATATTTTTAACTCGTCAAGTATCGTCATTATAGACACAATTATAGAACAATAGGTTGCGGACACCGGTGACCGCTTGGTGTTTGACAGTATATTACTATTATTTTGACGTCATAAAACACAAACAATTGGTAAATATAGTTCAAGTGACTATACATATAATAACCACGATTTCATAGAACGTGTACTATTTTCATAAAACAAAATGAAACGTGGGTTTACACCTCTGTCTACCTCTTATCATTTTGAACTTATATCATCTAGGTTGGGGTCAATATTAAGTTTTAACCGGATACTATCTTCATGTCATAAGAGTCTGTCTATATCTACATACACACAAATTACATTCACATGATCTATACAGGGTGTCCGGTAATTAATGGATAACCTTGAAATGTCTTACAGTGCAACTTATGGCTGTCCTGAAAAAAAATACAAAACAATTTATTTTTAATTGGATGAGCCGGTAAAGGAACAGACCTGATCACCCGATGGTATGTTATGGGCGTCGCCCATGGACACCTGGAACACCAGGGGCCTTACAAGTGCGTTACCGGCCTTTTGTGACCAATCCCAAATTCCTAAGAATTTGTGGGATTATCATAAGTAGTATCTTTGATATCTTTATTGTAGAAATGTCTTTTTTTTATTATGGAATCGTAATGGTTGTTTATTGTTTTATTATTATACTAGCTTTTGCCCGCGGCTTCGCTCGCGTCACAAAAGGATAAAAGTAGCCTATGTGACATATTATTATACCAATACACACAGCGCCATCTATACCAATAATTTCGTTTTCCCTAGAGAATATCAAATTTTTCCGGGATAAAAAGTACCCTATTATTTAATCCAGACTTCTAACTTCAATCGGTTTAGTAGTTACGGCGTGAAAGTGGAACAAACAAACAAACAAACAAACTCACTTTCCGATTTATAATATTAGTAAGGACACCTTTGATTATATAATGTCTAGATAAAGTGTCAGTTCACGAGCAGCGGCCCAAAAATTTGCAATGAACTGTTCCCTGCAATGCACTTTCTTGTCAAGTATTACCAATCATGTCACCTAAGCGTTACTACGTGCACACACGCTACAAAATAAAAAGTACACAGACTTTACAATAATGTCTGTTTTAAGTAGAATTTATAATGTTACAATTCATAACTGTATCTGTCATAAATAGTGGCTTATTGCTATTAATGTAGAACAGGAGAAAAATTGAATTAATAACAAAATTTTTAATATGGGAACATTTTTTAAACTGAATTGTTTCGCATCATTGAGGTATTATAAAAAATCACATTCAATATTCACACAACACGGATAAAATAACTCGCTACACATACAAATCCTCAAAATGCTAAAGAATAATCGACCATAGTATTATAAAAGCATTGTAATCTGCGTACAAAGTAAATACGGATAGTCGTATGACGTCACTATCCACTGGTTATCTTGCCAAGCTTGTCACACTCAGATAAACATAATATAATAACAAGTACTTTATTTACATACAATATTAGCATATGACGGCAGTAGAATACACTTGTCACCGCTTCTCTTCCCGCGGGTGTCGTATACCTGACGTGTATAAGGGCAGTTGGGGCCCGTGTCCAGGGCCCCCGTTCTAAGGGGATCCCGAATGACCTACAATTTTTACGACAGATTCACATTCCCTTTTTTTAAGGGGGGAAAATCATCGAATGACTGCTCCCGCCTTGGTGAGGCGGGAGGGAGTGTCAGACTGACTAAAAACCACCCCGTTTCTACTTCTGTTTTTCAAGCCGGAGCCCCGGCAACCCGTTAGGTTTTCCCCAGCTAGGTATAGCTCCGTATCCATACCCCCTAGGCCCTAGGTCACTGCTATACGTTACGCGGTAACCGGCTGCTGATTAACGTATAGTGGGTTCTATTCCCACACGAAGCAAATATTTGCGTGATTCACAAATTGTGGTTTCGATTCTGGGTGTCATGTGTATGTGAACTTGTATGTTTGTAAACGCACCCACGGTACAGGAGAAAAATGCGTATGAAAAAGAAAGGGCACGTTGGAAAAGTGCCTCGAATCATTGTGCCCAAGAGCCGTAGCTAGCGAGCTACCCTTGCTCACCGTATTGTGAGGAAACCTTGGCTTATAATTTCTAATTATAAGTTTGAAATCGCCAACGCATTTAAACGCTTTTAGTTACTTACTATTATGTATTGGTATAAAAAAACTATATTTTTATGTAAATTCTTGTAAAGGTGATATTGACCTATGTGCACAATAGTTTAATAATTAATACTATTCATACAGTAGGGGTACATAATACTATGTAGTAAACATGTTCAACTAAAGGTCATCGACTTATCCATTACATCATTCACTCGTCAAATGACAAAAATGTAAACAACAATACTAGTTTTAGTCTATACTAAAACTAGAATTTTGAAGTGTGGGAGAGCCATGCTTCGGCACGAATGGGCCGACTCGACCGAAGTGATACCACGGCCGAGCAGAATATCAACGTGAAGCAACGCTTGCGTTGTGTTTCGTCGTGCAAGTGAGGTTACCGGAGGCCCAATTACGGCCAATTATTTTTTATGTTCCTCGATACATGAACTAGGTATTATCATTATCATCTATACTATAATATAAAGCTCAAGGGTTTGTTGTTTTGTTTGTTTAAAAGCGCTAATCTCCGAAACTACTGGTCCGATTTGAAAAATTATTTGTGTTGGATAGCCCACTTATCGGGGGAGGCTATAAAATATTATCCTATATCCTCCTCTCTTCTACGTTGCCGTGCCCTACAGGGTCCATACTGTACTATATTATTATGTAACACCTTTTAAACATATGGAGTGCAATAAACGTATTGAGTATTGAGTATTACGCTACGATTAATAGGCGCCGAGCAGAGCGAGTGAAACCGTGTGGAAGTAGCTAGTCAGCCTATAAGTGTCCATTGCTAAGACCTCTGCTCACACGCAGAAGATCTGAGCATTAATCACAATGCTTGCTCAATGCGGGTTGGCGATTTCAAATTTATAATCAGAAATTATAAGCCCAGGTTTCCTCACGATATTTTCCTTCACCGTTTGTCAGTGGGGTCTAAATCATCTTAGAAAGTACATATAACTCGGAAAAAGTTACATTGGTACTTGCCGTTGGTAGGTTTCGAACCAGCCCCCTAATGCATGAGAAGCAGGCGTCTTAAACCTCCGGGCCACTACGATATTTTTGTACATGAATCAAAAGGGTAAAACTATTAAATTTCGGGTGAGACTCCAGTTAATAACTGATAGAAATACAAGTTTGTTAGAAACATCTATTAACACCTGATATTGCACATTGAACCCTAAGAGTATGAGAATTAGGATTGTAAATAATTGGAAAGGCTAAGTAACTGTGGTTAGTATCAGAGTGTTCTTTGAACACTTTAAAACCACGTTTGTATAATCGCTATAGCGACACATACTTAATTTACTAAAATCGAGGGTTACTCACGTAAATATACCGAGAAAGGTCTACTAGTTTCGAGCCACAGAGGGGCTCTTGCTCACGAGCAGCGTGCGCGACCGCGGCGATGTCGAGCAGCCTACTACCTATTTCGTAATCTTGTGTTGTTTCATACGAATAGTCAACATTCATTTTTAAACATCACTGTCTTTTTACACTTTTCCAGCTCACTTAATAAACTTTGAAAATTATAAGAACGACTACAGTAACCACTTTATAACTCATACTAGCAACCCGTCCCGGCTTCGCACGGGGTAGACAATTATTTATTTATGGAAATTTGGATTGTTGTAGTGACATAACTACAACAGTTGGACATATGCTACCGCGGAGTTTTTTGTAGACATTATGATGTTCTTCAATATTGTTGTACATTATTTTGTTCTATCGCTCATAGTTTCGGCAGCGCATTCGACGAAATACATTTTAAGACTCATTTTTCTACACCTTCGGTTACATTGTTCAAATTTTACCAAGGATCCCTAATTTTTTTCAAAATGAAATGTAGCCTATTTCAAATTGGAAGAATGTAGCATTCTATTGGTGAAAGAATTATTTAAATCGGCCCAGTACTTTTTGAGCCTATTCATTACAAACATACAAAAATAGGTACAAATCTTTCCTCTTTATAATATTAGTATAGATACATACTGCAATCAAAATAATTACAAGGTAACAAGATTTGACGAACGAAATGCAACGCGGGGATTCCCCAAGTAGCGATAGAGGAGAGGCGCAGAACATTAGAGATTCACACTAGTGATTCTCATGAGCGATTTCTTAGTGATGGGGGAAGTGGTTCAAGGCGCGATATTCAAGTACTTTATGTATAACGAAATTTTCAAGTATGTTTTGAATGAACGAATGAATCTAATGTTATTTTCTTAAAAAATAAGACTTAAAGTTAAAAGTTTTACTTTATTTAGACAAGTTTTTTTTTTTTTAAGTGTGACCTTGTGTTATTTCGCGAGGCCCCTCCAAGAGCGAGGCCCTGTGCGATTGCACAATTCGCCACCCCCTAAGACCGCCGCTGGGCACCACCCCTACACTTTCCGTGGGTGCCTTATGACCCACTTAAGGGACTAAATATTTGACAGACACCAGATTACAGAACTATCTGATAAGCCTGGCCCTTTTATACTGTGATGTTATGTAAAAAAACTGTTGAAGAAGCAAATTTGGTATGTTGAAATCGTACCATTTGGGATTCTATAGTCTACCTACCCCCATGGGAGTCGGCGATGGCGACCTCTCGCGCCTAGTGCAGTCCATGATGCGGAGCGAGGGGGATTGGGATGCCGTCTCCTCCTTTTGCGAAGCAGTCATGCTAGCTAAGGAGGAGGCGGGACGCGTGAGGCTGCTTGCTCGCAACCCAGCCATCGCGAAGGACACACCGGACGTCGGGGATTGGGGGCCGATTTCCGGTCACCGTAAGCGCGGGCCTGCGGACGGCGAGCATGGGTGGCTCCCCGTCCGACCAGAAACAGACCCGTAAACAGACCAGAAACAGCGTACGGCGCCGAGCGTACCGCGCGCGCCTCAAACAGCCATCAGACCACCACAGATGGGGCCCAAAAGGGCCGATGCAGATTCGGAGTCGCGGAGAACCTAACGGGTAACCGGGGCTCCGGCTCGACGTGCAGGAGAATGAACGGGGTGGTTTTTGTGCAGGAAGAGTGTGACACTCCCTCCCGCCTCACCCAAGCGGGAGTAGTCATTCGATGATTTTCCCCTCTTAAAAAAAAACCCCCGTGGGAGACCAGCGGAAGGTTATGTATGTAAACAAAATAGAAGCAATACTAGAATTATGTATAGCACACTTAGCAAGTAAATTGTTTAATAATACAAGTAACACCTCTAGACAATGTCAAAATTTGCATAATTTTTGTTTATATTCCTCGTTCAGTGTTCAAGTTCAATGTCTAACTTTATTATCGTACTAGCTGTTGTCCGCGTACAATACGAATTTTAGAACATAACTTTGTTTCTTTAAATTATCTAAAATAAACGTAGCCCATGTAGCTGCCAATAATCTTGCAAAATCGGTCCAGCCATTCCAGAGATAAGTCAGTACAAATAGATGAACAGACAGATTAAATTGTAAAAACATGTTATTTTGGTATGTGCATTGTATGTATATTCGTATGCATGTAGGAAAAAGAGGTTATTTATAATATTACACACAGACACTCCAAATCTTTATATATATAATTCTTCTGTGAGTGTGTATGTCTCTGAACTTCTTTCAAACGACTGGACCTACGGGCCTTTGTTTGGACTGCCCTGATTTAATATATTGGATATGTTATAGACTAACGATGAATGGCTGGCTACTATAATAAGTTAAACCTAAAAAGATTGATTATTATGTTTCCAGCTCACTCATGCAAATGTTTGACAAGGAACTCGACTCGTGTTGCCAAATGCTGGTCAAAGATATGAGCCTCTAGCATTGCTTGAAACTAGTCGAGTTCCTTATGAAACAATTTGGCAAGTAAGTTGAAAACAATATTTAACTCTTACACAATAACCTGATATAAATCCCCAAAACTTGGTAACACAAAAGTAGTCTCTAAACATCAGAAATAAGGTATATAATGGAGTTAGAGGAGATTCATCACCACTTGGGGACTTGGGGGCACTCAAGACCGTTATAATATACACAAAAGGTATTATATAAATTAAAAAGGTTTGCTGATGATGATAAAAATCATAACAGAGCATGAAAATAGAATTGAGTTTTAACTCGTTGAGTACCGTCATTATAGACACAATTATAGAACAATAGGTTGCGGTCACCGGTGACCGCTTGGTGTTTGACAGTTTAATGTATATACATATATTACTTTTGACTGCCTCGTTGGCCGAGCAAGGGGTGTCGGGTTTGATTCCCGGGTCGGGCAAAGTATTACTGGGTTTTTAAAAAATCTCAGTAGTAGCAAAGAGTCTGGAAATGTGCCCGGTATATGGCAATAGGCTCACCCCCTATTACATGGGACTTATAACATAAATAGTGAAAAGTGGGTGTTACATTGTACAGTGGCATAATGTGCACCTCTGCCTACCCCTTCGGGGATAAAAGGAATGATGTTATGTTAAGCCATACTGATTGCAATAGGAACACAATAATAAAATCAAATACATATTGTGGTACAACTGAGCATTTAAAAAATTAGAAAAAGAATCTGATTACTTTAAATATTTAGATATCAAAAATGGACAGACAGAAGGGATTTGATTGAGTTAAAATCAGGCGCAATGCTAAAACTTTTTCTTAAAATACCAATGTTTAGTCAGATATCATTGACTCTGTGCCAATTGCAATGTTATTAGAAGAAGGCTAACAAAATCAGCAAAATAATTGCATTTAAAGAGTTTAAATATAGGCTTCATGATACAGTTGCCTTTGCCAGTCTTGAGAAAGGTCTACCTTGTCGATTGTTTGTTTTAAAATGAGAACATAACTAACAATAGTCTGTTTACATATTCTACAATGAAAACAACGCCTCATACTAATAACATAACCTTACTTATATAATAGTATAGTTTTATTTGGTTTCTACTGCACATTCAACAATGTTTTTATTGATAGTCCTCTGAAATAATCACAAGGAAATACCAAAGACAATATGTATTTTCTTAATTTATATAACAGGCAATTGTATAACCATGTTCAGCCTTGTCGGTGTACTGTACATACCTTAAGACATTCTTATCAAAGTTCCTGATAGTTTCTTCAAGACTTTCTTTACAAATTATTGCGTCATACACTGCTGCCGAGCTCTCTTGCCCCCTCACATTTTTACTTTTCCCACTGTTTTGCTTACGATGACGGAAAACACTTGAATATCTTGAAGATAATTGGCTAAAACTAACTAAAATCTGCAATGACAAAAGGTTATATTTTTAATGACAAAACAGTTTTCATTTACACTTCAAGTCCATGTATTTTGCAGTTATACACCGCGGAAAATGTCTGTTTACCTGGTTTTGGGTATTTAAAGAATTCAATGAGAACATGTTACATGTAGATGGTTATTGAGTGTATTTTTCTGTAAGAAGTAGTGCACTCGAAAATTTTGTAGGCTCGCACGTCAAACTTAATTTTCGCAGTGAAAAAAAAAATGGCTATAGAGAGCTGAGCGAATATAAAGTCTGACGCTTAGTCGAGTTGTCATGGCACTTCAAAGTAACTATTTGGATAAAGTGATGAATGCACTAATAAGATATTTTAGTAATTACAATATTATTCAATAGTATAAGTAGGACTTATATAAATAGTAAGATATTAATGAGCAGATTTTGAAAACCTATTAGGCAACAAAATCCATTTTTTCAATGAAAAGTAATACTAGAGTGTTATTTGGAATTCACAGCTTATCCACAAAAGAAATTGTTTACAGCTGGAAGACGTCCACAGCTGGGCAAAGGCCTCCTTTAGCCCTCCACGTCGAAAAACAACTCGCTACCTTCTGCATCCACAGGCTCCCCGCAACTCTAGTGATGTCGTTAGTTCATCTAGTGGGAGGCCTGCTCACACCTCACACTTCGTTTTTCAGTTCGTGGTCTCCACTTAAGAAAATAGTTTACATAATTATTACTTGTAAAACTATCCATTTGTTATACACAGCTTTATATTGAAATCTAGTACCTATCTAAGAAAATATTTATTAGTCGATTTCAAGGCGATTTAATGGTGCTCTACTCTTACAATTCCACAATTGTCTGTGGTAAAGTTTTGAAAGAAGTTCAAATACGAGGATAAATTAAAGTTGATCTTCTTGGCTTGGGATATTATAAGTTTCTCTAAAAGATTTTATTCTTTTAAGGGGGGAAAGTCATCGAACGACAGCTCCCGCTTGGGTGAGGTGGGAGGGAGTGTAAGACTCTTACTGACTGAAAACTACCCCGTTCCTTCTCCTGCACTTCGAGCCGGAGCCCCGGTAACCCGTTAGGTTCTCCGCGACTTCTCTAAAGGATAGGGTAACGATAGCTTATATTGTAATAAAATTTCCATCAATTTCTAATGTTTGAATAGCGAAGCACGTAATAATATTGTGAGACTTGAAATTGCGCAAAAATCAAAATGTTTGGTTTTTGAACAGGCAGTCATCTTTATACTCTATATTGTCTATGCTTTATTTGGACAGTAGAATCCAAAATGGCGACGAGCGATGACGAGCCTATGCATTTATATGAAGTTTTTCAAAACTGTTTCAATAAAATAGCTAATAAACAACAAGGTGAGTGAGAAAATGCATACCGTGGCTCGTCTCGCGTTCCTCGAACAATCTATCGCGGTTCAGTGAAGTGTTTCATTGTGAATATCAGTCATAGTGTTTGCGTGTTATGCCATTACTGTGTTGAAAAGCAACAGCATTTTTTCAAAATACTTTCGAATAGTACGACCTACGCGTACTATAAGCAGTTGCTAACCTTCTGCAATCATTAATGTATGCGTTTTAATTATGTAGGATGCCGTAAGTACGCATTTTAGGTGTACAAAGGCTATGTTTTGATCGTATACTACGACATCAATGTGCCTGTACCATTGTGCTACAGCGTTTTCAGTGCTAATCTGAATTGTTTTACGGGATTTATTTACGTTACAGTCATCGCTCACAACTTTATAAGGTAAACTTATCGATAAGAGAATGAAAAAGGGAGATATTCGTACACACATCTCAAGAAAGATATGTTCGTGTCGTATGCAAGTTTCATGATGCATTTTTTTTTCTTGTTCGCAAGTATCAATGGACACAACGTTGTCAGCCTGCTGTGTAGAGGTGTACATGGGTATTTAGTTCGCGAATCGTTGTTTTTATGTTCTCTTTGTGCCAATGTTTACAGCGTAATTTTTTTGTTTATTTACACACGTAAGGCGCGGGCTCGAAGCGTCTATGGAATCGACTGTTAGGCATGTACTATAAAAAAAACTAGCTTACGATATATGTTAGGAATTTTCTGTTAAGGAATAAAATTGATGAATAAATGTTCATGTTATGTCCTTTGACCATATTTTATGTTCAATTACAACAATTTGATATTGATCTACTTGTGTCATGATAATGATTCAGTGCATTTATTGTAAAGTAATAAGTTTATGAATCATTAAAAAGTATAAACTGACTTTTGTTCGTATTTCTTCAATAAATTATGTTTAATTATAATGAAAATATTTTTAGTTATGATTGCTTATTTCGTATTAGTCAGTGACCAGCCACATTTCAAATTTAAAGGTTAGGTGTTGTTTACCTACTGTTCTTTATTTTTAACTTGATATGAACCTTTTCAAAAGTTCTGTGTTCCAAATAGAGGCTAACAAATCAAATATATTTTTTTTATTTCAATGAATTAATAATGAAAATGAAACTAGTTACAACAAAAAATCCTATTTCAAGGATAACAAATAATATTGAATTTTTTCAATGTGCCAATACTAATTATTATAATTTATGATATGTTGATTATAATGACAAAATTAATAATGAATTTATTGCTGTGCAGGTCAGAATAATAAAACTATAATCTTTATTTCTTATCTATTTTTAGATCTATTGTTTTAGAAGACTAAAAACTTAATAATGAAATATTCAAGCCAGAATCTTATTTAAAAAAAAAACAATCTAACTCAAACTATGATTTGGATTAGGTATCTTATAAAGACTAGGTACTCCTGCTAATAAAATCCCCAGTAGATTATAATTATACTTATTTGGAAACCCAAGCAAAGCCCAAGCTTTGATAAGTGGCCAATTGACACAGAGTTTACAAATACTGCCCAGAAGTACCTTTTTGGTCTCATTTTTACTTTTTTTACTTTTTACCTAGGTACCATAGACTACAAAATAATTGTCATGTATTAAAATATGCTGTATATAGGGCAAAAGACAAGCTATATCTAAATGTAAATCATTGTGGATTTTGAATTTGTTATTAGCAGCACACACTTGAGTCAACAGTAAATATATACTTACAAAGTAAATAAATGGCTGGTAACATTTCAAACTATACCTTAGTGGTACTGTAATAAGGTTGGATATTGAGTAATGGTTGGGTTGAATATTCCAGTATGTAATTTTCTATGGTTTCCTAAATTTGAAATAATTGTCTCTAGTGAGGATAATAATATCAGTCTATGTGTTCCATAAACTTAAAACAATTCAATAATCTTTTTGTCTAACAATATCATTGAAACATTTCAAAGTGCTCTTTGAGTAGAAATTATGTTGTATTTCATCTATATTCATAATCATACCAGATACAAGATATCCACTGCCTCTATATGAGGGTTTCCCCAATGACTTCCAGATAGTCTGGCTAGATGTGATCTAAAGATTGATGACTGTTAATGAAGCGAAAAAGGTATGTAAGAATCGTAGTAATTGGCATTCCTTAGTCTCTTCCTACCCCCATGGGAGACAGGCGTGAGGTTATGTATGTATGTAATGTATGTATGTGATCTGTATTTAAAGAGACACTTTTATACAATGTAGTAAAATTGGAAATAGGTTGAGTAGGCAAAGTGAATAGGTAACTATATAAGAAAGAGGCTAATAAAAAGTATTGCCTGGGTTAAAAAAGCTGTTTTATTTACCCGTGCGAGATTCAAGTCCGCTACATGTTGCTCAGCAGTTTGTCACCCTTCCAATGCTCTAACCAATTCACTGTTTAATCTTGTATGATTTAGTTATGTGGCCAGTGCATCTGCTTACCTTTTCGTGGATAAGACATTATGTTACAAATAGCTGTTCTGTACAAGAATCACACTCGTGGCACATCATCCTCACCGGTTATCCACAGTACCAATCGTGCAGTCATTATTTCGCTGTGTTATTAAAGTTTTACAAGTTTAAAAATGATTAACTATATACAGTATTATATTACACATACATAGTATAAATATGGTTAAAAAAATAATAATAATTGTGTTTTGGCTTCGCATCAACTGTTTCATTTCTCTACACTTCCCTATGGTTGACTGTGGTTGAATGCCTTAAGGCATTACGTTTTCCATTCACTATTATCTTTTGTGAAGAAGAAATATGATAAATATTATAAAGCTCAGCACTTTGCTTGCATGCTGTGGGTCGAGAATGATTTTCGATTTTGCACTAACGAGATGACGTCAGTGAGACATAAGGCTCTGTTGGTCCAATCAGCTTAATTGTCACATAGGAATACTGACCAAAGATTTGACACTAACAATGGTCCTAGCGCCACTAGCGCGAAAATCCTCTTTAAGTCCCAGCTCCAATAGTGATCTTTCTCGTTCTCTGAGTGGCACTGATTGATCAGGTCACAAAAATAACAAAAGACGCTAACCTGAGTTTATATACCCAATAAAACAGTTATGGAATGGAACTCCTTGCCGGAATCTCTGTTTCCCGACAAATATAACTTGGGTGTCTTCAAGTCCTGAGTGAACAGGTTGCTCAGGTAGGCGTGTTCCATCGTCGGCCACATCATCACTTAACACCAGGCGAGATTGTGGCTAGTAGCTAAAGTGCTGAACGTCGACCTATAAAGTATCAAAAAAAAAGCAACACAAATTCGAAGTCTTTTCGTTTGTTTCAAAACCATAAACAGTTATCCTTAAATTTTTTATTGGTAATAGGTAGGTGTATGGCCGCTATCTCGCTATTTCTTTGTCTATGTATAAATTCGTTATGACAAAACCTCGTCACCTCTGTCCCATCACTTCCCGAGATTTGTGTACACTAAACAAACACATTGATAGCAATAAAACGCTTCGAATCGTCCATGTGACCTAGAAACGCCTATTAGCTATATTTTTAGTGTAACTGGTGAGTCAACGGTCGTATTATATCAATTAATACTATTCTCACAGTTATACGCATGAATTGTTAGGTTATAGATTTTTTTATATGATTTGGGTTAGTAAGAGCGCCACCTGTTGGTGTGTGTATGGTGAGAGCAGGGTAGAATATGTTTGTCATCACTGCGATTCCCGCGGGTCTTGTAGGAGATAAATAAGGCGCTATACATTTGACAGAGATCGGGCAGTAGCACTCTCTGATAAACTGCATGTCCAACACGCCTCTCAAAGGTGCTACTTATGTCAAACCCTTCTTATGTAGAGGACTCAAATAGTCCGGCAGTGGACTTTTACGGGCTGTTGAGGTGATTGCATTA